AAGACCCTTAATCCTAATTTCTAAATAATGTGTCTGCTCCACCCTAGGCCTGTACATTTGGGAGAATCAAACCCTCCCTTCCCCGAAATCTAGCTAAATCAGCATCATTTGGAAGATNTCTTACCGGTTCTTTTAAAACACTTCCATCGCCAACATCGGGTATCCAACCTGAGACTGAATCGAAATCTATATAAAACTGTTTTCAACATTGTGTCGAATTTCCCAGGGTGTTTAATTGTTTCTATCGGATTTGAACCAGCTTCCAAAACCATCTCGCTAAATAAAGATGGAAAGAAATTGTTTTCTAACGTTGTATTTGTTTGTGGTACACGATTTTCATTGGGAGTTCCATCTTTAATTTTGAAATCACATCCGAAATAAGCATCGGAAAGAAGCAACCAATTCGATAATGAATTTATTTCGAAGGTAATTCTACCACCATCATTCAACTGGGATTTAGAACCAACAGTGGGTGAGATGATAATATAATCCTCTTTTTTCTTGTTAAATGAATAACGAATCGGATCGTATAATTTAAAGATTGGATCTAATATATTATTTGCCATTTTTAAGGTTTAAAAATTGAGTAGAAAATTTGTTTTTCCAAAAAAAGAGTTATCTCCCTTCTACATTATTAAAACCGGATGTTATTTTATATAAGGGTATTTTTAATATGCTTTATTGATGGAATGTAGGAATTGATTGAAGGTGTTTTTGGTGTAAGAATTTATGAAATGTAGGGAGTTTAGGTGTAAGAATTTATGAAATATAGCGTATTTAGGTCTTTTTAGTGTAAGAATTTATGAAATATAGGGAGTTTAGGTGTAAGAAATTATGAAATATAGGGTATTTAGGTCTTTTTCGTGTAAGAATTTATGAAATGTAGGGTGTTTAGGTGTTTTTTATTGTAAGAATTTATGAAATGTAGGGTGTTTAGGTTAATTGGGACCTCTCAATATGGTCGCACATTTCCCATGGAATGAAATGGAATTGGGGAAAAGTGCGACCATATTGAAAGGCCTTATACTACTGGCTTTCGACGCCAACGTTCTGGACGCTTCGGCCATGTCGGATTAAGAAAGCGAATATCCTAAAGCGGAAAGCGCGAGAGCCTTTCAACCGGAAGAAGAAAAGAAATTTGTCAGCTTATTCAACGAGCAAAAATTCAGACCCAAAACGGCCATTTTCAAAGTCTGGTTCGAATATCCCAAACTCATGTTCTTCCAACCCGTGCCAGCTAAAGATGAAATCACTTTTACCAACAAAGAAGGTAAAAAAGGAAACCGGTACTAAAATCAGGTTCAGAAACGGTTTCTGTTACGACGTTTTGACTTCGGTCGATATTCAAGAAATAGTCAAAGCCGGCAGAAGAATCATCAGGATATTGGACGGTATCGTCTACGAGAAAAATTTCGACAGACCACCTTACGGCGAATACGATTTGAAACTGAGAGATTTGAGAAATCAATACAAAGAGGAAGGTAATATCGTGGGCAGCAACTGCATGAAACTTGCGGCCAATTCTCTCTACGGCAAACGATTCAGAAAGACATTCTGACCACCAGACATTTCGTCACCTGAGTATTATAGTGTTCTAAGTCCACTTTTTTCAATTTTGAGTAAAACGCATTTAAAAATCACAGGTTCCATTTTACAAAAGCAGACATGGGAATGTAAGAAATAAAACTATACATGTTTGTATATCGCTATATTACACTCTCACAATAAAATTGGAATGGTTTTAAAAATTTGTTAAAAATCTATAAAGCTTTAAAAAATAAAAAATTTGGAGATAGAACAATTTAATTCTGATTTTTTGTAAATTACGATATAAAACTGTTCTATGTCAAGCATTAATTTTTTTTATCAAGGTAAGGAAGTGTCGTTTGTGCAGTTTTTAGTAAAACAATGACATTATGAAGATATTATGAGGTATTACATATAGACAAAATCTCTTGTAAGAGACAATTCGAAAAGTGAGTCTGTTAAAGAGGTTTTTGGGGCTTCATTTATATAGCTTTTTTGTCACCCCCCCCCCCCCCCTCCCCTATACAGACATGAGTTTTGCGTTCCTTGCTTATTTGAGATGGCAACTATACACATTTCGTATATGCCCTTTATTCAAATTATTGATAAATGAAAATAACATTATGCAAATAGATTGCAATGAAATTTGAATACAACATAATTTACATACAAAGCCAACGAAAAGGTGGGACATAAAATTCAGCCAACAAGTAAACCTAAATGAAATAAACTTATCTTATTCCAATTTAACAATTAACAATTTTAAAAATAATAATCTCATCTATATACTTAACAACCCTTACATCATCAATTAACATAAATTTCATTAATGATTCATCAGGCCTTTGAAACATGGCTAATTCATCAGGTTTAATAAGGCCACAAATTGGAAATAATTCTGATGTTGTTATTATTGAATTTTCAGACTACGCAAAAGTAATTATATTTTACCGGTATGTATTTGTTACAACATTTACATTGTTTGACTCTCGTTCCTGAAATTATATCGAACACTTGATCGATCTGACCTGACTCAAAAGTCCTTTGAAGGAAGAAAAATTGGAACGGTGCAAAAAGATGCTTTTAGTGTTTCTTTAAAGATAAGTATCTAGGTGAAAATAATATACCAATGCTGGTTAAAAAGATAAGTCTAATCAATAAATTAGCAATTTGACTCTTGCATTTAAAATGTTTCATATGTTTAACGTATATTCTTATACAAGATTTTGAATTAACAGCTTTTATAAAAGCCTATTCATAGTGAAATATTTTTACAATTTGCAAACTGATTTCACGTACTGCTTGTCAACATCGGGCATAAACTTCAACATTGATTTTAAATCGTTTATCTTATCAGCAGATAACAAAGATGCCTCTGAGAGGGGAATGACCTTTACCTGAGGCAAAATAATAGGTAATACTACCTTACTACCTGCATTTCTATCCGGGTGACAAGTCAATAGTCGGACTTCAGTAAATTCACTTGCATGTTTAGTTTTGTAAAGAACATGAATATGTCTGTCTGACTGAAAACATAACTGCTTTACTTTAGTAAATGGTATTTCAGCAAATCGATAAACTTTACTGACCGCCTGGTAATCGAAAAAGTCATTGGCTTTCATTTGTAATACAATTAATTTTTTTCGATTTACAGACGGCAATATTCTCATTAAACTTACAGGACTATATACCTCACATTTGCTTAGTGTGCGCTCTATTTGACTATGTACTGCATCTACCTCCTGAATAGAACTATGACCAGGTTCACAGAATTTTTGTGTAGTTGACTTGATTGAAGGATGAGCTCTGATAAATTCCTTTAGTGCTACGCACATCAATGAATTTCTGTTTTGGGCGACACAGGAATCAGACCACTGGATAATATCTGTAACATTAGGGTGACGATTTACTACGCACTCAAGTAGTTTAACAAGGGAAGATGCAATATCATTGCCTGCTCGACCAGATAAACCCTCACTCCAAATAGCGCAATACCCCCTTTTATCAAGAGAGCAATGAGCTGTGAGATTATAAACAGAGAGCTTCCTTTTATAGAAAAAACTGGACACATTAGCTCTAGGCAAAGCGAGCACATTCTCAAGGTCAAAACAAACGACAGCTGTAGTATCTGTATCCCTAGCCCTCTCTTCTTTTGTTTCTACTTTACTTTGAAAGTGATTGTTATACTTTTCACTGGCTTCTGTATCGGGGTTATTGATATTTCTGAATTCCTCACACCGATCACATCGATCTTTTTTTGGTTTCGAAGTTAAATATGTTCCTATACATATGCTCCTTAACGGGTTCAAGATCTTTCTGGATACAGAAATCTGTAAACAATTCATACAATTTTGACAATGATAATGTGCTTTCAAAATATTGCTTTTTTGTGGATTGCCTACAATAATGTGATTCGACACTTGCAATTAAATTGATATGATCCCTAACATTTTGTTTGATGAGTTCTGGCGTTACTCTTTTAGTGTGCTTTCCTTTTAAAGGTGAGCAAGGTATCAAAGTCTCTGGTTGGTGACATTTTTGGTAGAAATAAATAATACGTGACTGACTGATATCAAGTGTTGTTAACAAATATTCTTTGCACACTCTATGCCGAATGTTATGTTCTAAATTAGCTTTCAAACTTCAAGTATTTTCACTGACATTTCTTTATTTCATCATATTTTAATGTACTATTCTTATCTGAACAATATACAATTCATTTTCATAGAACATTCTTAATCATTTGGGTAAAAATGGATAATTTGCAAGACTCCCATCAAAGTTGTCTCCAATGGCGCCAATGTATGACCTTATGAAGCATGATACAATAGTTGAATATGAGGTGCGTAACAAACGGTGTGCAGTCTCAAAAACCGCCAGTGCAGAGCAGTAAACGCTGCAACCAACACCGAACACCCCCAACTTCCAGGAAGTAAAATATGGAGTTATTTCTTCGGGATTTTGTATTTTGAAATGAAGTTTTCTATCATCTAACAATTTCCAGAAATGTTTATCAGCAGAATTGATGTGACTGGCACATTTATACCGACATTTTCCTTGGCAGTCTTTTTTAGTTTTCACTCTTCTTGCAGGCCTTTTTCGTCCATTAACATCTTCAAATTCTTGTCCTGATTGAGACAACCGTCTGTTGATATTGGCTTTCCATTAACTTGGATCACGTTTACGTTTTCTACTTGGTCGCCTATAATGAAATGAGTACTTGTTATAGAAATATGATGAACCTCAATGTATGATATTAATTTTATTTTGCATGACTTCGTGTTCAACTAATAAACTTCAAAAATTCTTAACTTTTAAATAATATGATATTATAAATCGGCTGAAACTCAATAATTGGTACAAAATGTGCATCATGCTTGGATGAATCACTATCTGAACTGAAAATTACATTAGAATTAAATAACATTGTTTCATGTTAAGACCTAAATTTTACAAATCTTTAGGATTTATATATATATGTATATCAAGGAATAAAAAACTAAATGTTTGACTGAGAAGTTAAAAAGCTGGAGTGGACCATTATAGTTTCAATGACTGTGGTCTGAAGTATCGTGATTGAGTGTAAAGGGAGGTAATTGCTCTCCATAATTTAAAGGTACTTTCAGTCTATCAGTAGGACTGAGGGCTAAAATGGATCTGGTCTTCAAATTGACTGCATTATTTATTTCTCTACAGGTATGTAATGTAAATATTTTTATTTATCATGAAACTATTTCAAAGTGTGCAGACAACTGGTTATTAATTGTTTAATGTAAACAAACCACTGGAGAATTGAAATCACCCACCTAAAATCTCTATTTTCAGATTGAATTTCGATACCAATGACTCTGAATGTTGATAGTCTGGAAGAGGAACTTTCGTCACTGTGAAAAGAGAAAATAATATTCTACAAAAGGCCTATTAGATCTACAGTTACAAACAAGGTTTTACAGCTAGACCTACACTTATGACATATCTCCATTTAAATTGAACTAATACTAAAATTTAATTTTTATGTAAGATAGAACATTTTAATATTGGTGTTTTTTTCTCGGAAAAATAAAATTTTATGTTACAACTATTTTTTTTTTTATTGGATTCATAGAACGTTGCCATGGTAGTAACCCCATTTTCACAAATAGTGGAGTTAGAACAATATAATTTTCGGGTGACGATTTGTGGAATGAAGCGACTTTGAAAGCCAACTTTGATTCGCACATTAAAAGCTACGAACAGGTCAACGAGACCCAATACATTGTGTAAATTGAAAACGAAGAAAAAGAAATCGAAGTGAATAAAAAGACCACTCGATTGACTCTCAGTCACTTGGGTGCGTTCATCTTGTCTCACAGCAAGAAAATAATGAACAATTTCATACACGTGATTGATGGATTTTATAAACCCGAAATATACTATACCGACACCGATAGTTTGTACAAACTAAACAGAGCTGGTTTGATGTCCGAAAAAGACTATTGCAAAGGTAAAAACGATTACAGTGATGGTGGAATTGTATTTGGTTTATATTTAGCACCAAAAGTTAAATACATCATCGTTTTGGTGTTTTAAAAGAAAAGAAAACATTTAAAGGTTATTCTAATGATAAGATAAGTGTAGAAGATTACATTCAGTTAGCAAGCGGACATGATGTATCGAATGAATTTAAGAAACCATGGGAAAAAAGTTTCACAAATGGAGTAGTTATTCCAAAGGATGATGATAAACAAAAGAAAGGTTTTAGAAGTTATCTAAATCTCGTTGAGAGAAAAGCACCAAACAGTGAAGGAATCATGTATCCTTACAACGACAAAATGAATATACTTTGGATGANAACGATGGATTTGATGATTTCGATTATCTTACTATT